TTCCTTCTATTGGATGAGGCAAGGGAGAACAGGAAAAAGAGAGAAAGAAAAGAGAAAAAGAAAATAAATAAATAATGGCACCAGTAGCAAGTCCCCATTTTCCGTCTTTGGATGAGGTGCTGCTGGCTCAGGCAGTGTGGTTTGTGTCTCCCTAGCATGGCTACTAATGATGATGTACTGCTGTCAATTAAAGACCAACCATTCAAAATTGAGAGAGAACCCAATGGGTAGATGGTCACCACTTTCTGTTTGAATCAAGAAGCTGGAAAAACCCAGAACGCCAGTCCACTCTGTGTTAAAAAGTGGCCATGGAACTGTTGAATCTCAGCCTGTGCTGTGTGCTTGCTTCAGGGCTCTGCCCAATTGGAGGGAGCCTTCCCCCTTCCACCACTTCTTTCTGAACTCCATGGCAGCCAAAGCCAATGGGGGTTTTGATCTGTTTCTCAGCAAGGTTATCTACTCACTCAGCTCAGCTTCCAAGGTCTCCGTTGAATAGGCCTGGTGTTGAATAGGCCTGGTGTAGGTAGTCTGAGTCTCCAATTCCTCTGTGGTTTCCATGATTGTTTTCCTTCTTTCTGCCAGTCTCTTCTATATTGCTAATGAGACCTCTGCTTCTCCTTCTCTCCATCTCTCTGCTGGCTATGCAGGTTTGTTTATTTTTCCCAGTTGTTTAATCTGCTCTTTTTCTCTGCCTCCACCAAATCTGGTACCTTATCTTCTCCTTAGTTGCCCACAGCTCAATACCATTGTTTTTGTCTGCTTTACCTAGTTATTCAAGAATGGAGATGCTAGAGGGAACAAACATGTGGGATCCAGGTACAACTCCATCTTCCCACCTCTCTTAGCTCTTTAGTCATTCCTTCTCCATCCCTTTCAAAGTTCTCCTCCTCTATCCCTTAACTGTTAATGTTCCCCAATATTTTATGATGATGATTATAAAAGGAATGAAAAAAGTAATGTTTGTATCTGGTAAAAAAAAAAAAAAATGCAAAAGGACAGAAGAGAACCTTTTCTTGCATATTTTCCCAGAAGAAAAAAATTATATAGAATTACATCCTGTTTTGTTCTTTCACACATATGTTCTGCACCTTTTTTTTTTTTGCTTAATTTTGTTTGGTTCTACCTATTAGGGAATATTTGAGATCTTGCCACATTACCTATGGGTACATACAATTGTATCTCATTCTTTTTAATGGCTGCTTAACTATATCACCAAATTAATGTAACTTATATAACTAGTTCTTCATTGGGGCACATTTGGTAGCTTCCAAGTATTATGTTATTGAAAATAAATTTGCACTAAACATTCTTATAAATATGTAAATTTTAAAATTTCTATAAGTGGAATAATCAGATCAAAAGGAATGCATTTTCAGTTATAATATTTTCAAATTGCCCTCCACAAAAGTTACAAGAGTGTATATCTGCATCATGCATTAGACTGACTGTTTCCCCTCACTTGGCCAACCCTGAATCATTTAAATTTGTTTTACAAATCTGTAAGATGAAAAATTAGATCTCATGATTACTTTGATTTGCATTTCTTTAATAATTGAGGTTGAGCATCTTTTCTTGTGCTTGTGGTGTTTTATATTCCTTTCCTGAAAATTGTCTACATTCTTTACTCATTTTTCTATCAAATTATTCATCTCTTTCTTATTGATTCATAAGAACATTTTATATGTAAAGGAAATTATATCATTTGTGCTGCAAAATATTTTCTTCTTTTGCTTTTATTTTGCCCCAAGGAAATTTTTAGGCCCACATAACTTCTATCACATACTAATCTATATGTCCTTTGAGTTGATGGCCTTCCTGAATTTTTATCTCTAGCACAGACCTCTATCTTAGCTCCAAGATCCAATTACCTATCATATATTCTCACTATATGAAGTTAAATTCATTTATATAAACATATTTATATTTTTGTAAACTCAGTTTATGTTTTATAAACTAAGCATATCTGAAATTGAATTCATCTTTCTCCAAATGTACCTGTTATGCTTTCTATCTTGACTAATGATTTGATCATTTACCAAGAATTTTACTGAGTAATTTAAATCATGCACTTCTTTCTTACCTCCTACACCCAATTGACAAAAAAAAAAAAAAAAAAAAAAACCTCTAAAATATTTTGCCCAAATGACTGTAATGTTCTCCTACCTAATTACTACTAGCAAAGTTGCACAGTGGTTAAAGAGCACAGGCTGCAGAGTCAGACAGAACTGGCTTTGTATCCTGGCCTTGATAATTCCAAGTTATGTAACCTTGAGCACATTTCTTACCCAAAACCTGTTTCTTAGTCTATAAAAAATAATTACCATAACACCTACTTCTTGGGTTATTGAAAGGACTAAATGAGACTGTATGTACAGTATTTGGTATATAATAAATACTCAATAAATAGTAGTTACTATCTCCCTAAAAGGAGCTCTGGTGGTGCACTGGTTAAGCATTTGGGTGCTAACCAAAAGGTTGGCAGTTTGAACCCACTAGCCATTCCACATGAGAAAGATGAGGTAGTTTGCTTCCATAAAGATTTACAGCCTTGGAAACCCTATAGGGCAGTTCTACTCTGTCCTATAGAGTCGCTATGAGTTGGAACAACTCAATGGCAATTGACTTTATTATCTTCATGCCCTATCTTCCTCCACCTTCCTCCAAGGCATCCTCCATGCTGCAGCTATATTGATAAATCTAATCATTCCCCTTCAGTGACTTCCACCTTCCCCCAAGCCTTCCCTCACACACCATCTAAAAGATAATGTCTGAATTCCTTGGTAGGGCATACAAGGCCATTCAGATGCTGTTACCTTTCACCATTATCCTATATAGGTTGCCCTCCACTCACATTAAACTATATGCCATAGTTCAATTACAATATACTTTTCCACACTTCTATGATATGTGCACAATGTTGATGATAGACAAGTCCTCTCCTCAATCCACTTCTTCTGTACCTATTCAGGTCAAACATGTCTGCTGTGCTTCCACAGCACTTAGCACTTATCCCTGCCCTGGTACAAATCACATTGTTTTGTAGTCAGTTGTTTACCTGCTTGTCTGCCTGACAATTTTGTGAGCTCCTTGAGGGAAGAGACTATTATGTTTTATCCACGGCACTCAGCATAGCACCTGGAATTTTATAGAAGCTCCATTTATGCTAATTGAATAAATATTGCTCTGACCTCTGTTCTGCTACTACTTCTATAACAATAAGTATCTATGCATAATACAGTCCTTTACCAAAGCCCCCAATTGCCCACCCTCCTCTCAACAGTGCCAAACACTCCAGCCAAAATTTCTGTTGCCCAAGCAGTCACAGGAGTCTGGGACTGGTCCAACAGGGTGGAACTGAAGACAACTGTCTCAATGTAGGTCCTGACCAATACCAATGTTGAAATCAGAGACCACCCCCAAATCTCAGAGACAAATATTGCTGTCTGCTTATTCAGAATTGATCTTTAATTAAGGAAGGGGAAAATATATCTCAAGATCATTCCTTTTAGTGTGATTAGAGTTGACAACTATTTACATCACCATCCGCAAACTCAGTCAACACAGGTACAACATATGCTTGTTTTTGTAGTGACTGGGGCAAACATAAGACCTTTTCTGAAGCTCTTCACTTTGAATTCATGCTGTACATCATCCCCAGCAAGCATAGAGCAGAACATACACAGTTGTTTTATTTTTTTTACTTTATTTTAATAATAATTTAAAGCTAATAAGAAATTATAGGCACAATAAAAAAATAGACAAGTAAAAAAAAGTAGACGAGAACCACAAAGACACATCCTTAACTCGAATAAATACAGAGTTCTATTAGTGTCCCTACCAATATCCTATGGAGGCCTAACTCTGACTGGGGTCAGGAGGCATCATCTTCATTATTGTGCAGGGGGACCAGACAGCAGTCAGGTGTGATTATGTCAAATTGAGTGGGCACAGGGACTACTGAGAGCAAGATCTACAGTTTTGGCCCTAAACTTAGGAGGGGGTTGGTCACTTTTAACCTCTTCCAGGCTGTGCCGGATCCCATAGCCAAAGTAGATAGCAAATCCTAGTGGGAAAAGGTAGCTGTGAGGTGAAAAAGTATTAACTTACTAAAGTTTAATAAGTCTCCTACTTGAGATCAGGAGGGAAAGGAGTTGGGATAGGACACTCAGGAGGCCTACTCTCCAAATAGATACTTACCAATCAGCATCCAGACCCCAAATCGGGCCCAGGTGCCAGCTGTCATTTGCATCATAAGGTAAATGTTCACAAAGATGCTCACTAGTGGGAGAAAAGGCAAAGCAGGAACCTGGGAACAAAGTAAAATCTTCTTTATAAATACTACAGGGTGACCTAGAAAGAGACCCTCTACCTTACCTAGACTAGGGAAGGGAGAATCCAACCCTTACTCATGCTGTGTATTTCAGTATTCACTCATTTAGAATACCTCATATGAGATTAGCAGGGTAAGCAGAATCTGGTGAAAAGGAACTGTAAAGGAACTAAAAAGAGTCAGAGAAGTTGTTGGCCTAGGTACTTCCTATATCTTTCCTTTCTTGTCCAATTGAAGGTAATGATGAACCTTATTAAGGATCTTTGGTGGCTCAGTGCCTAAGGCATTCACCTGCTAGCCAGAAGGTTAGTGGTTCAAACCCACCAGCCACTCTGCAGAAGGAAGATGGGCCAAACTACTTCTGTAAAGATTTATCACCTCAGAAAACCCTCAAGGTATCTGGAGCCTATTCTTCCAAGGTGGATTGGTGGGGGAACACAGAGAGGTCATTTACCTTGAAGTGAAGAGAAATAGAGCTTTGTGGCTGTCTCCAGATGACCCCAGTTATACCAGTAATGAGCATCAGGAGCACCACAACCAGTGCAATCCATACTGGGTCTCCAGAAAGCAGTGGAATGGGCCACTGGGCCAGCACCAGACATAGGACAGTCAGCAGTAGAGCTTTAAGAGTCAGATTGAGAGATATCAAAACCAACTCTTGAGATCAGTATGTTAAGATGTTATGCTCAATGTTCCGATGAGGTTCTCTCTAGTTGTACTTCAGCTACTAAATGCCACACACTCCCACTTCATCATTCTGATCTTAGAGCCATCCCCCAAAAAGTCCCACTGCTCACCAAGCAGGGAGGAACAGATATAGACAACTTGGCCAGAGAGTAGAGTTGGAATGGAGCTGAATGGGCAAAATAGTCCTTGTAGAGTCAACTTCTTTGCTTCAGGTATCTTCTCCCCTTGCAATTCCACTTCACCTTCCCCATTCTTTATCTCTTGGTCAGGCTGATACCTAAGGCAAGAATAGGAAGGTGGCATTAAGGACAACTCTTAACCATTTTACCATCTCCTCCCAGGCAGCTTAAGCTTCTTCTTCACAACTTTTTTGCAGGGAAGAATACCCAGACTTCTCAAAGACAGCCAGGATTATAAAGGCAGATGAGGAAGGAGGAGCAGATTCCTATCACTGATGCAAGAAAAACAAACAAACAAACCCAAATCACAGGATGCAGAGGAAGGGAGTCTCACCTGAGGATGAGAACACAAATAGCCACCAGAGAGTAAGCAAGCAGGGTCCCAATTGACATGAGGTCCACAAGATGAGTGAGTTCAAAGAGAAATGCCATGATTGCTAAAATTGAGGAGCAGAAAACAAGAAATGAGAGACAAAAGGGAACAGTAAAGTTAAAGGAGTTGGTAAAACTGTGGAGGGAAGAAAGAGGATGTTTTACCTGCAATAATGCCAGAGACCACAGTGGCCACGATGGGAGTGTGTGTGCTGGTGTGGATCCTGGCAAGGACATGGAAGAGGAGGCCATCGTCTGCCATTGCGTAGATCACCCGAGGCATGGGGAACATAGACCCCAAGAGGCTGGAGAGGAGAATGCCCACAATGAAATGAGTTGGCTGAGATCTCTCTTCCCAAGCCTGTGTGGATAAGGGGTCTCTGCCTCTCCCTCACAGCCCAAAGGGGTATTCTCTGGTATCTGAGACTCTGGCAGTAGAAGAGAACAAACATTTGACACTGACCTGGTAGAAAGAGCACAGAGTGAGCCAACAGCCACAACATAGTAGGCAGAGGCCCATCCAATATGAAGAAAAGCCTCAGGCAAGGGGCTTTCAGGTTGAAGCTGGTAGTAAGGCATCATGAGTGTGAGTGCAGAGGAGACACCAAAGTATGCCAAAAAACAGACGAAGAGCGAAATCACAATGCCCATGGGGATGGAATGCTGGGGATTTTGGGCCTCTTCCCCTACAGGAAGGGGCACAAGATTCTGAATTAGGGATAGGAAGGGGCACAAGTTTCTGAATTAGGGAAGTGGGGACACTGCTCTACCACCCCATGCAGCCTGAGCAACACTCTGCCCAAGCCCCAGACAGAATGGAATGACTGTGTTACCAGTGGTAGCAATACAGTCAAAACCAACAAATGCATAGAAACAGGTAGCTGCTCCACGGAGAATCCCCTCGAAGCCGAAAGGCACAAATCCTCCAGACCCCAGAGGGCCCAAGCTAGAATGAAATAAGTGGTGGAAAAGGATAAGGGTGTGTCCTTTTTCTCTAATGCAACACTATTTAGCTATCTTCAAGGCCCAGGCTCCCATTCCTCCCCACCTCCAATTCAGAAGCCTTTAGCTCATATTCTCCTGTCCCCAACCATTTTTCCAGATCTGCAGCAACTAAGAGTGAATCTCCTAACCTATAGGTGTCATTGGGTCCAGACATGGCCAATTCATAGTCCTCTTCAGTGAGCTTCCAGTTGTGCAGGTCTCCCTTAATGAAGCCAGAGACGATGACAAAGCCAAGAACCAAAAGATTCACCCCTGTGAACATTTTGGTAACCAGGGCCGACTCACTAGCCCCCAGAGCCAGTAATCCTGTGGGAGAAATGCATTCAGAACCCTGGGGAAAAGTCTTCAGCCCAAGTTTTATCTCCCTGCTTCTATGTGGCACACCTTTCCTTCCCAGCTTCTCTTCTCCCCAACCCATGTCACTTCTGTAGAGCCCTTTCCAGGCCTGCTCCTTGCTCCCCCTCTTCCATCATTATCCCTGTCCCTTGACCCACCGGTGAGCAGCAAAACAAGGCCCATAGCAAAGAAATCTGGATATTCTGCAAGGATGTGAGGCACATATAGTGAGATGCTCCCTTGCAAGGTCTGGGAAATGTGGTTTCCTATCAGGTTGTCAAAAGCAGAGCTCCAAGCACGGGCCACACTGGCTGTACCTGTGGAGGAGAAGGTATAACAGGGTGTCAAACTCTTTTTTTTTTTTTAACTTTTCTTCCCTCCTCCATACCAGTCTCACACAAATCCCTACCATTTCCACCTATTCTTACTTCTTTAGAACCAAAACCAGCAACTTAATTAAGATAACCAAGACAATGGTGCATAGAAAACAATTTCTCCTTCACTGGCTTTGCAGTTCCCTCCCTGCCCCACCATCTCACCAATGACATAGGACAGGATGAGGTTCCAGCCAGTAGTGAAGGCCCAGAGTTCACCCACAGTGACATAGCTGTAGAGATATGCAGAACCAGAGCAAGGAACCCGGGCACCAAACTCTGCATAGCACAGCCCAGCCAACACAGAAGACAAGGCAGCCACCAAAAAGCAGATCACAATGGATGGTCCTGCTTTATCTTTGGCCACCTCACCAGCCAGGACGTACACACCTGCACCCAAAGTGCTGCCCACACCCAGGGCCACTAAATCCAAAATTTTCAGGCATCTGATAAGGCGAGTCTCAGCCATGCCTGGCTCCAGTGTACGTCTGCGTACCAGCTTTTGACCAAATCGGCAAAGTGTCTGCCACAGCATTCTAGGTGTAATTGAAGAGGATGCTAAGATCTGGTGAAAAACAAGACAAAAGCCTTTCAATAGGGTTCATTCTCCCTAAGTGCTAAGAGCAAATCACAAAACCCATTTGACCAAGCAAAGGAACTATGGAGAGGGATAGAAGTGGGGCTCTGAAAAGACAAAGGCAAGTCCTTTTACCTCTAACCTCAGTTTCTTTGTATATCAGTAGGAATTACAATAACTCATAAGGTTTTTGGAAGCTTTAATTTCAGAAAAGGCATGTGAAAGCCTCCTATAACACAGTGGCTGGCCCCTAGTAGATGCTCAGTCAATATTAGTTCTCTTATTTCTCTGGCTGGGAAACTATAGGGTTTATCCTAGACCCAAACCCAGAGAGCCCGGACCCTAATCTGTGTCTGTTTCCTGGCCTGTGGCTCCTTGGGAATTAAACAGAACTCAACCCAGGAGGGGCCAGTAACTCTGGGTAGATCCCCCTTCTCACATCCAATACTTAAACGTTCCTTTCCAGAGCGCTCCCCCACGGCTTAAAATAGGCATGGCCCCCAAGACCCGTCGGAATGAGGGGAAACTGACGGCGGCTGTAGATCAAAAGTGATCACCGACTGGATTCCATCTTTCCTCACCAAGCCTACATCACGTACCTTACGGTACCGTCACCCAGAGGGGTTAAGCAAATGTGCCCTCCACCCATTTCCTCTCGCACTTCTAGGCTGACACATCAAACATCAACCAACCTTGAGGTGGGGCTTTGATATCTAAAGATTTGGAGACGCGCTGAAAGCAGCCGGAGATAGCTTCACCCTCCTCTCCGCCAAGGAGGAGGGGTTCTGCCCGATGCTCCGAGACTCAGCTCCCAGATTCGTATGCCACCATCTAGAAACAGTAGCGCAAGAGCGAAGATGAGAGCCCTGACTCCTGGCGCGGGGGTTTTGCCAGCAACAGGTCAAAGCACCGTTGATGCAACTACATTCCATGGTGTGCCAGAGACTTCTAGGTATGTGCAGACCCTCGCTGTCCCCCTCCGACTCACCTGTGGGCCTCCAGGCTTACCTAAGAGCGGTTGCAAACCCAGGGAACATAGAGTCCCGGAGCTGGTTCAGTGAGCTGAGTTAAACCTAGTTGGATTCAGTTCCTTGGGCTTCAAAGCTGCTGCTTGGGGTTGGTGCGCCAAACATCCCCTATATACACCCGGAGGCGGAGCCAGTAACGTCATGCGATACCAACCTCCAATCCTCCTCCCTTCACACACACACACACACACACACACACACACCACGATGCGACGCAACGCCACACCATACCACACACCCTTCAGCTTTGCAAAACGAAGTGCGTGGGGCAGGAGACACCTTCCCAACCGCGATATTGAGCCTGGCGGGTCTGGGAGCAAGAAAGGGTAAGAGCAGCCTTTTACTATTTTTCTCACTGGTTGGCAGAGCAGGACAATAGGAGGCTTCCAGTGCAAAGACCCACCCTGTGGGATTTCCTACCTTTGTGCCTTGTTGGTCAGAATCAGTGATTTCTGGGCTGGGTGGGGAGGAGAAAACAGCACGGGAATCTCCACCTTACTCTCCCCCAGTCTTCCTTAGCTTTCTACACGAGTTTCCCTCTCCCTTGAAATCTTTCTTAAGAACCATGTCAGATTATGAACAGCTGTCTGAGTTCGACCCCTTAGTTCTCATCCTTAACTGTGGGCGTTTCTAGATGCAGTCAGCAAGAGAATGAAGATGGTTTCAACTACTACTACCTGTCGTTGTTGTTGTTAGGTGCTGTTGAGTCATTTCTGACTCATAGAGACCCTATGCCCAGCAGAACGAAACACCACCCGATCCCGCGCCAGCTCCATGATCCTTGCTGTACTTGAGCCCATTGTCGCAACCACCAAGTCAGTCCATCTCCTTAAAGCCTTCCCCCCTTTCGTCGACCCTCCACCTTACCAGGCATGACATCCTCCTCCAGGGAATGGTCCCTTCTGACAACATGACCAAGGTAGGTGAAACGAAGTCTGGCCATTCTCGTCCAAGGAGCATTTCAGCTGCACTTCCTCCAGGACAGATCTGTTAGTTCTTTTAGCAGTCCGTGGTACTTTCAGTATTCTTCCCCAGCACCACAACTCAAAAGCATCAACTCTTGTCCAGTCTTCCTTATTCATTGTCTAGCTCTCACATGCATATGAGGCGATTGAAAATATCATGGCTTGTGTCAGGCAACCTTAATCCTCAAAAAGACATCCTTGCTCCTCAGCACTTGAAAGAGTTCGTTTGCAGCCGACTTGCCCAGTGCTATATGTCGTCTAATTTCCTGACTGGCATGATTGTAGAACCAAGCAATGTGAATTCTTTGACAACCTCAATATTTTCTCCATTTATCATGATGCTGCTTACCTGTACACAGTTTATTAATCCCATCTACATCCCAGGCCCCAATCTCTCCAGGTTAAAGTATTAAATATTAAATTCAAACAATACTGGAATACTGGAGGGATAGTTTATTTAGTTCCATTTTACTGATGAACAAGCTGAGGCTCAAGGGCATGACTTGCCTGAGGTCACACCCTAATTATTTGTTGACAATCTCATTGGTAAAACCTGGTCTGTTGAACTTCAGTACCTGTCTTCTGTAAATATTATACCTCATTCAAATGCACAAGAGGAGGTGTGGCATCCAGCAAAGCCAAACTGGGAAAAGGGCCAGCACCTAGGGAGGCACTTTTAGATTAGAGGTTTCTAGGAAACAGAAGAGGAGCCTAATAATGTAAGAATGATAACACTGGGTCACACCCATAATCCATCCAACACAATGTTTTGTGAAAGCATGATTCTCTTGCACCAAAACATCTCAGGATGTTTCCTTTAGTAACCCATAATGGATATGTCACTAATGAATGTGTCTAAAGTCCAAATCTTTTTTTAAATAATTGGTATTTTCAGTTAGCTTCACTTCCATTTGGGCATTCATCAAGTATTTATTGAGCACTGACTGTACAGCAGGTAGTATAGCACAGAAGAGACTACAGTGGGAACGTAAAATATAATCTTTGCCTTCCTAGTTTTAAAAAGGCGGTAGGTATCACTACAGAAGTAGATTGCCCAACCTTCCTTCTGAAGAGTGGCTGGTGGGTTTGAACCTCCAGGTCTGTGGTTAGCAGTCAGATGCCTTAGGCAGTACAGTACCAGAGCTCCCAATAATCTAGTTAGGGAGAGAAAACACACAGTACAATTGAAACAGTATTTCATAGTGGTTAGGAGTGCATACTTTGGAATTAGACCTAGGTTAAATCCTTAGCCCAGCCATTTACTAGCTATATGAACTTGAGCAAATTACTTAATGTCTCTGAGCCTAATTGTTTGGATATAAAATGCATATTTTACAGAGTTGTGATGCTGAGATTATGAAGTCAAGTCTTCCTGACACATAAGAAATATTCAATAAGAACTCAATACCTATTCAAAATAATATATTAGTATGTATTTTATTAAGGGTCTCTGGTGGCGTGGTTCTTATTATTAGGTGATTATTTGATTGCGTGGATTAGATGACTGATTCAATTACAACAGTGAATGACAAATTGGTGGTGTAAATATTCAGAGAAAGAAGTCATGAGTACAGACTGGAATATATAAAGAAGGCTTTACTTGTAAGGGGTTGGAGAGGGATGTTGGCAAAGGTTTAAGGTGAGTCTTAAAGGATAAAGGAGCTCTGGTGGTATAGTGCCTAAGGCATTTGGTTGCTAACTAGAAGGTTG